ACCTGGTCTCATCTGATTTGTGGTCGCAGATTACAAATGCTTTGGACTGATATTTATTGGAATCGTGTTTGTGCGAAGGTTTTATGAGATTAGAGTCTTCAAAGTATAATTGGAGATCGAGCAGTGGAGACTAGGGAAGGCCAATTTATTGAGAATGACGGCGTGCAGATCTGACTGGCAAAAATGGACTGTTTGTTGGAGATAACATCAACATAAATCAGAACATCGGTACTCGATACTAGCTAAAGCCGCCATGGACAAGCGATTTGTCAGCTTTTTGAAATGAAAAGATTTTTTTTGTTTATTGGAAATTTAGCGGCATCTATCGTAGAGAACGTTTCGTCACAGGCTGAAGAGCAGCCGCTCTGCCAGACTTGTACCCGGCGGAGTGAATTGTTCCGGACAAATCGTTTTTGACGTGTCGACAAGGTTTCAGACGAGATAAAGCCACACAATAAAAAACAAGAAATTCTGCAGCAATCGCTCATTGTTTTAACTTTCTTTTATCGTAAATCTTTTTTATTGCAGTTCTTGCAATCGCCTGCATTGTGTTCTATTAGAGAACAAAGTAATTTTACAAATCTGGTAATCCAGGGGTAGTCTGTTCGTTACGTTTCTATTTTGACGAGCTGTCAATTTACAAATGAACCGAACCGTGAAATATCAAGGGGCGTTTTCCAGAATCGTGGGGTTTGCTGGCAAGCGTTTCCTCTTCTCCCCTCCCCCTCCTCCTTCAACCTTTTTTTTGCTTCCGCTCTAACTTTCGCGCAATAACTCGATTGGAAACGCTTGCTACGCAGGCTACCTTCTATACTTCTGGAGTCTCAGATTTCATCACAACCGCCAGCAAAGCGCTTGATTTTAACCTTTTTTCAAACTTTTTGTTGGCAATTTTATCTGTGTCGCACATGCCTTGCGGTACGAAACTAAATAGTAATTAAAATGCAAAGTCAAATCTCAGTTTGACACCAGATAACCTAGATTAATTTACCTTTATATATGTTACTTTTGCAAGTGCAAGCGCTTGTTAGTTAGTATTTTAATATTTTCCACCATTGTAACTTTTGATATGTATTTTTATCAATGAATATAGACATATTAGAGGAGCTCCAAACGCGCGCGAAGCGCGCGCGCGTGGGCAGAGCCCCATAGCTAAGTAAATCTACCCATCCCAGAAAATTTGGTTATCACGTGACCGTACACCGAACGAACGTAAGACCGTCCGTCCGCACCACAGGCATACCAATGTTCACTCGCACTCTCTTGCTAGTTTGGGAGCCCAGGAGAAAACTGATTGCACATCAATGTTGTGATCAATTGACAGCTGTCAAAACAAGGTATCCGCTGACCAGTATCACCTGACCGTATCGCGGGCTCAGTGGTCGACCCATCGAGGTCGAATATTTTTGAAGTTATCCGCTGACAAGTAACTAGTTTTTAAATGATCGCAGGCTCAAGTTTGTTTTTTAAAAATTTATATGAAATATGTCATGTTTATGTCACTATGGCCCAGCACTATTAAGATTTTATTTCAAACTTACCTCGGACACGAAAATTCAGCCGGTTATTTAAAAATACAGGCGGGGAAGACCTTTCCTTACCATGGTCACGCGTTGGTCACGCTCTACGTCCAATTTTTATGCTCTGATTGGTCAAAATTTGACAGGTGAGTTCATGCGGAAAATTTACGCAGCATCTTGAAACTTGTTTACTTTGACAGCTGAAGCTGACAGAGTTTTGTGTCAACTTGTGATTTTTTTAATGTCTTTTTCCACTGGATTTACAAAATGAAATACAGCTGCTATCAACAGTCTTATGTTATTCATGGCTGGTTTGTTTATTGGGTTTTTGGTTGAGAAATGCGTCGCTTGTCAAAGTCGGAAATCCGATTTCGGATGGCATCGTTTTCGTTTTTCACCTTGCTTGATACGTAAGAGGAGTTTAAAAGTCTCAAGCGATTCTGGCCTTACTTGATAGCTTTAAGGAGCTGCATCTCGAATGGTAAGCCTGAGTAATTATTGTATCTGATGTTTGTTTTTTTAACCTCATGAAGTCGAGCACAGTTTATATGCGGCAAGTTAATTATGCACGTTTGTAAGATTTGAGACAATGATCTGACCTAGTCATGATCAGGTTTGATATAAGCTTACAGAACTTTAAAAAGCCTTGAGATATATTTTCTCACCGCAAATAGAAAGAAAACGTCGCGAAGAATATTTAGTTATAAATTTGCTTGTAGAAAGAAAACTTTGAGCGATTTTCTTGCCTCGAGTTCATCTTTCAAAAAAGCAAACACCGGGAAGCCGGATTAAAACATAAACTTAAAGACTCAGGATTTTAAGAGACACTTTAATACTTGTCTTCGTGAATGAAAATTGCTGTCTCTTTAAATGTTTCACCGAATTATATTTCTTTTATTGATTGTTAGAAGTCTCTTTTGCAATTTTAATCGCTGTGCCGTTTGTTTTCAGTCTTTTATGAACATCGCTTGCAAGAGTACTCAAAATGTCGCGCGTATCAAACGTTTTTCAAGATTACACATCGTTATAAAGCCATTAAATAAAAAAAAAATTACCATAATAAATTCGTTATTATGTTGAAGCGTAACTCTATTAATGTTCATTCACACACTCGATTGCTTGTCAAAAGCCGAGAACCGGCTGGCCGTATAGGTGATTTTGAAATTTTTTGAACGGTTTCGCTAAAAGCCAACGATTGATCGTCCTGAATATTGACTGAGTACAATTGCTTTGAAAACAGTGAAATACTGTATTCTGTCCGAGGTCTGTATGATAATTACAGGGCCTCATAGTACTGTTTCACCTCAGATGTGATGTATAAAAAGTATAAAAGGTAGGTTTACACACCTACGTATAAAATTGTAAAAGTTATAAAGCTTTTAGAAAAAACGGCCTTAAAGGATTCTGAGATAATTTTTATGATGATTATAATTTACTTTTATAATTATTACATCAAACTGTTCAAGTTAGATTTGCAAGACACTCTTTATATAACACTGCATTGAACTAAGTCCTTCCTTGTGGAGGGGAAAATGCTCAATACAAAGTTGTCGGTGCAGGGGGAGTGGAAAATTTTCAATTTAGTTTTGTCTACTGCGTCGACAAAGTACATTTGCCACCATAAATCAAAGAGAGTGAAACGCTGACTTTTCTAGCACCATCACTTTGGTAGGGTTCTGACAAAGTGCTGGCGTTCGAGAAGTCGTACTATCTCTTCTCTTAATGGTGACAAATGATTTTATGAACGTAACTCACAGCCGGTAATATTATTTGGACTCTATTACCCCCTGGCACAGATCCAAGAATTTACAGAATTCCCACCTCTGAGCAGACCGGTCATAAACCCAGGCCGAACACTTGCAACGTGTCCGACACATGTGCAGCGAAATGAGCCGTTAAGAGAACAGTTGCTTCCCTTGTGATCAGGTAAAAGGTAAAGGAACTTATTTTACGTCGGTATCTCGAAACAGTACAGTGTACTTCAAGTGACAAACCTAAGGGCGACAGCAGTGGGCTCATTTTACCTCCTCTCTATATCAGAGCTCCCTTTTACGGGTATTCAAAGCTACTTTAAGCCACGCGGAAAGTCAAAACAAGGATTTGATGTCAGACCCGGGAATCGAACTCAGGGCCTCCTGCACAGATGGCCGCGCACTAACCAACTGTGCTAATCCTTTCTCCAAGTGATCACGGATGTCGATTTTTATTTAGCTAAGCAGACGACCAATGGCCTTTTAAATTAGAATGAAGATTAAAATAACAACTTTACTGCATGTACAATCATCCCATTATTCTCAGAGCGGTTGTTGCAGTGGCTTGTTACACACCAAAAATAAATTCAGTACACACAACATAGGAAAAGGTAACAGGGACTTCTCTGTTGTGGGGATATATCGACGGGACAAACAAACATTATCCGCACACAAGAGAATATTGCAGAGCCATGTTTTTATTTTTATTTTTATTTTTTTCGGTGAACGAACTCAAAGAATTATGAGGTCAATTTAATAAAACTTCTGCAAGTGTAATTTACAAGTGTAGCTATTGTTTTGAGACCCTAAAACAATGGCTACACTTGTAAATTACATTCAGTTCAGTTTTATTGAGCCAAAATAAATTACGATATAAGAATGCATATAAAAATTTTAAGTTGGCAAGCAAGGGTGCCCAGAAGAAACCAGAAGGCTTATGAAGCCTGGGCTCCCCAGTCACAAAGAAATAAGTAAAGTGAAAATTCGCGGACAGTAATGCATTAAAAATACTGTAGTAACGAAAAACTAAACAAAGGTTAATTTAAGTTAAGAATTCAATAAAGAAAGAAGAAAGTTTTTTACTCTGGATTGGAACGATTTTATTAAAGAAAACAGGACCTTGATAAAAAACAGAAAACTTCCTTATGTTGGTACGACAGAAAGGGAAATAAAATTTATTTGAACTACGCGTGTTATAACCATGTACTTGATTGGTACCTAAAATAGTGTGAGCTTCGAAGCCGTTCTTGCTGATAATTCTAATAATGCGCTTGTAAAAGCTTTATTAAATTGACCCCTGGGGCGCGATCCATTCAACCAAAATTCCAACTGGTCCGACCGGGAAAAGTAGTCCACCTCAAAAGGTGGACCCGTTTTTTCGAAACTTTCTCGGTTGGACCGAACCGATCCATTGAGTTTTGGACCCAAATTTCTGGAAATTTTGGTTGAATGGATCGCGCCCCTGGTGTGTGCCAGACTTAACAGCACTGGACAGCACGACTTAATCACTTGCGGAAGCAAGCGTGTTGCATAATCGCGCACGAAGCCGGGTTCACAGTGAAGCGGCACCCTTGTCTCTGCACATTAGTCCCATTTAATTTATTTTTTCCAGAGGATGAAAATGGTGCTTTCGTTATCCTAGGCTGAACAACAGAATCTATGTACTGCATGTTTGGCGACCATATTGAGTAGTTATCACCTTTTAACCGAGTAAAGTGAACCTATTGATTTACTGAACGAATATGTAACAATTTGCTTTGAAGTGCTTCTCTCCATTGTCAGCAAAGTTTCCTGCCTCATTTCCACAGGAGTTTGATCCCTTTTGTTGTCCCCTGCTCCCTGCAGAACCGAATCCAATCCTTGAATTGCATGAACTGCAATCGTTTTCATTGTTGCTAATGATGCCAATCCTGGTGATAGCAGAGTTGTCTTTTCCAGTATGCGAAACTACATTAAAACCCTCCATATTGCAGTTGTTTTGAAGCGAGGATTTATTCACAAGTGATTTCCATGTAGCCCTTCCGACTTGTGTTTGTGTGTAGTTGTTGTTTGACAGAAGATCATGGAGGGAAACTGCACTGTGATTAACAAGTATCCAATTTATTTGCTCTCCTACAACTCGCATTCCAAGACAAAGTTTGGTGAACGGATTGCTCCAGAAACTTGGCATCTTCGCCTCTAGGTTATCTAGCCCATATTCACCAGAATTTTGATTATGCACCATTTTGTTGCTCCATAGATCCGCATTATACGAAAAGGTAGTCTTGAAAAATAAATAAAAGATTTAAAAATAAAGATACATAAATATAAATGAAACTTCCAGCAAGCAGAGATGTCAAAGCATAGTTATATAGTGACCTGGGATGGTTGGGAAACCCTTTGTTATATGTTTTTGTTAGCTTTTTTGGACTTGACTGTGCACAACGTTCAATAGCATCCCTATCATTTTGAAATTATTGACCAATAGGGACATCGCATTGATTGATTCAGTCATAATTTGTGAACAAAAAACAAAGGATTGTGCATGGTCAGGGAGCTTCCAACATAACCAACAACACCCTTTTTTCAACTTTGATGTTTTCCGTGTTTCCTAACCAGTCTCCTCTCCTAACTATGATTAGAGTGATTACAATAAATATATAATGAATAAGAATATATAGAGAGAGAGGGAGAGAGAGAGAGCATTGACTATTAATAATCACAGCCGAAACGTAACTAAGACACAATCCATCTGTTACCTAGATACAATCTCTTAACGCATCCCTATAACAACCACCCAAATTTTACTGCCAGCTTTTAATTTTTTTAATTTTGCCTGATGAGTGTGGTCCTTCAATTTCGGGCCAAACAAAACAGCACTGTCGCAATAAACGATCAATGATTACTCCTTAAGCCTGAACTCCTGTGATAATTAATAGTAAATGCTCTTCAATTAAATGAATTGAGCGCTCTACGAAATACGTTATACCCAGAATACAAGTATTTATATGTAACATATATATATATATATATATATATGTATGAATAAAAAGACGAATCGAATATTACATGTGCATGAATTTGCATAAAACAGTTCACAGTAAAAATAGGGAAACGAAGGATTGGGTATCAGATTCCTAAGCAAGCCATAAAATGGGAATAAACTACTAGCAGCCTTACACTTTCCTAATACATTAGATGGGTTTTCAGGAGGCGTTTAAAAGCGGCAACGTTGATGGCATGGTGGATAACCACGGTTAGATTGTTCCATAGCTTTGGTGCCGCGGCGGTAAATGAACGGTCACCAGGAGTATCGAGAGTTCTTATATTGGGATGTTGAAGTAATAGTTTTTCATCAGAAGACCTTAGATTGTATCGAGGAATAGTATATTAAAAATGCGTGCCTTTTGGCAATCAGTGCTATGAAATCTTCGACGGACAGATTAGAAAAAAAACCTCGATATTTTCCGCGCGGTTTTATAAACTTTTTCTACCTTTGCTCCGTCGATTTTCATGACTAAAGTCCATCCGCCACCTCCGCATCCAGAAATTTCTTCCATGTGGCAGTATGTTAATGCTGTCTCTAGCTCCTTAGTTTTAAGGTGGTATGCTCCACTTTTAGATCCACTGAAACGTAAAAAGTGTACAATATGTTTACGTTTTCAGCGCAAAAAGAAACAAGGTGTGCCCAGTTCTGAAAGAAGCTAGGGTAAAGCCATTTGAAAATACCCCATCGGTTTGAAGTAGACCGATCAGGTTAGAGTTCAGTACCCTTGCAGCTCCTCAAAGCCTCTACTTGGACCCCTGTGGGTTGCAGCTACTTTTGTTTTTGGGGTAGGTTCAATTGTTAAATTTGTTTGTTTATTGTTTCCCAATTAACCAGTCCCACGCACTTGAGATTTATGCCCTCCGTGCTCTCCAAACCTCGCACGGGTCTCATTTAAGCAATAGAACACACTGTCTATGGGTTTACCGGCGTGATAACCCACGCGGGATATGTTGGGAGAACACTCGAAAAGCTTGTAAATCACTCGCCTTCGGCTTGTGATTTACAAGCTTTTCTCGTGTTCTCCCAACATCTCCCGTGGGTTATTACGCCAGTAAACCCATAAAAAGTGTGGTCTATTGCTTTTATAAAATAACTTTAAGTTTCCTATGAGTTTACCGGCACAATAAACCAAAGGTTTTTAAACAATTAGAACGTGCGTACTTTCTTAGTTATTTTATAAATCTTCATGTACGATTGGAGTATTTTTAACTCGGCACAACTGAAATTTTAAGAGGAAAGAAGGTTTGCCTTACGGTGTATTGATCAAGACGTCTTCACATGAATTCGCTGCACAAGAATGATTGTAGCCTTTAAATTCTGTAAATAAAACAGTAGAAGCAATCATCTGTGAGTGGCTTAATGTTCTTCTTGGGCGATATCATACCAAGAAGTGATAATAAAAAAATTTACGTGTAACCTGAATTGGCGATGTAGGTTTGTCTAATCTACTTGATGTGGTCCTCCACAAACATCTTCACATTAAGAAAAGTTGTCATTTTCTTTAGAGCTATTTCTTTCCTGCTAGTTCTTCAGAAGTTCACAAATACCTGTACTATATCAAGCTGGTCACACAAATCGTTTATATTAACTTACTAATAAGTTTGGTAACACCATCAACTTTACATCCGAACTCGGAGAAACAGACAAAAGAGCCGTTAGTATTACTACAGGATGCGTCAAGCGAGCAGTCGTGAGCACCAGTGGCGCATTCATCGATATCTGAAAAACAAAAGCGACGAAAATGAATGCCCAATGGCCTGACCTCAAATGACATGACAGTATAGCACAACCATAAGTTGGTGTTTTTCAGTATTCGTAAAGATGAAAAAGATTAACATGTTATTATTGTTCAACAAGACAGATAAAAATTGTTCTCATACTAAAAATATAAAAGATTTTACTTACTGTACGTTTGTAGCTAGACTAGTAGTAGTGACAAATTAACCTCGAGATCGCTGGACTTCCTATGTACTTACCTGGACCTCTGCATATCCCTTTTATGAATTCCAGCGACTGAAGTCTCAATGTGGATTTCATAACTAGATATAATTGATCTGCCCGCCTACTAATTTGGACTTCCTATTACAAATTAGCATTATTTTCAGTTGCGCTCTGGAAATGTAGGAGCTTATTTTATTAGTGACCTCTCTTCCTCCCCTGCCCCTGATAAATGCGATTAACAACACTAGTAGACTACTGTACACTTCTAATTACATTACCAAGTAAAAATGAAATATTCTTAAAGTTCAAAGCTGTTAATTGAACACAATCTTCTTTTTTTCAAAAGCCTTTAGTAGTAAGCAGTACTTAGCAGTACACAACTCAACCTGGTTCCTGGGGTTCTCTCCTACCGGTCCTCGACCGGTAGGAGAGAACCCTGGGAACGAGATTGAGCGACCATAGAGGTACCAAAAGACATCTTTTAGCCATTGAAATTGAGAAAACTCACGTCATAGTCATTGCTTTTGTTCAGGGGCACACAACGACGGTTTAAGATAAGATAAGATAAGCGACTTAATGTAACGAGGGTTACACGTGACAGTAATTAAAATTACTGATAAACTTGTGGCCCTCTGAAAATAAATTAAAAATACAATGACATAAAAACTAGGGATAGGTTACTATTTACAATAAAAATGTGTACAATAAAAATTTTACAAGTATTCGACTAACGAGAAAAATAGTTAAAAATCAAGGGCAGTGAGGATAAATACTCAAGAGAACAAAGTGATATCATTAATTAATAATTCAAAAGATCCCTTAATCTTTTGGGAATTTAATAGTACTTTCCACAGTACTGACTTGAAGGATTTCAAAGTCTTCTTAGTTCTTATTAGGGTTCGGGGTAAGTTATTCCGTCCCTAGCAGTTCTCACTGCAAAGGTGCGTCCCCCTTCTGAGATGTTTTGTGGAGGAGGGACAGGAGATTTAAATTTCAATTACTAGTAGTAGAAAGTTGTAAAAGAAATGCATGAGAAAAAACAAAAATGCAAAGTTTCTGAAGCCGGCCACGTTAGGAGACAAAACATTTACAATACAAGGTACTAAGCATTAACCTGTCCACTTAACATTTTGGGGTAATATGGTCTACTATCTAGCAAAGAATTCCTATAAAGAGCATCTTTCCATGGAAAAATAAAAACAGCAATGCTTTCGATGGTATGAAAAATGACGAAGTTATGAAAGAATTACCTGTGCAATTATCTCCGTCTCCTTCATATCCTGGTTTACATGTGCAGTTATAGGATCCTTTGGTGTTATTACAAACCGCATTAGAACTGCAATTGTGAGTTATTCCTTCACACTCATTGATGTCTGAAATCAGGCATATTGAACAATGGAGATGAGCTTAGTTTGCAGAGTGAATTCCTCTCAGCTTTCTAAAAAGTGAGGCTAGCATTAAGTAGAAAGTTGTAAAAGAAATGCATGAGAAAACATAAAAAAGCAAAGTATCTGATGATGCCGGCCATGTAAGGAGACGAAAAAATAAAAATACAAGGTGCCAAGCATTAACCTTTCCACTTAAGTTTTTGAGGTAATATGGTCTACTATCTAGCTGAGAATTGCAAGAAAAAGCATCTTATCACGGGAAAATAAAAACAGCAATGTTTTCGATGGCATGCAAAATGACTAAAGTACGAAAAATATCACCTGTGCAATTATTTCCGTCCCCTTCATATCCTGGTTTACATGTGCAGTTGTAGGATCTTTTGGTGTTATTACAAACCGCATTAGAACTGCAATTGTGAGTTCCTCCTTCACACTCATTTATGTCTGAAACCATTATTGACCAATAATTGCAAAAAAATAAGTTCGCATTCTGTGTTTTAGACTTTCCCCCGTTTTTATCTACAGTGCAGGAAGTCAAGAGAGGAGGTTACTAGAAGGTAGTAACAGTATTAGTAGCAAGACGAAAAAAATAGTGTCGAATCCAATGTGAAGACTTTTTTCTCTGACTGTTAAGACATTGACTTATTGTTTTTGTTTCATTTTGTTTTGCTTTGTTTTTTTCACTTTTGCGAATAAACTTATTAAATTATTATGGTTGGATCCACAGTTTCGATGTTTGACATTCATGTTCTTTGTATCTCAACTTATGGGCCCCGTTATGTTCGAAAATCTTATTTAGGTAAGTTTCCCTTAGGGGTTTAATTCCAATTTTACGAAGAGCATTTTTATATGGAACTCTTCCACCCCCTCGAGAGCTCAATCAAGTGAGCTTCCTAGCAACGAGCCTGGATGTATAATCAAGGCTCAGGCCATATCACGTTTTCTTGGTTTAGAGTTGAGATGCTCTTAAAGAAAGGCTTTCAATTACGAACTGCTTGTACTCAACAACAACTCTAGTATTACTCAACTCAAATAACCAAGAAACACATAAGATTACGAACACAAAGAGCAAAAATTTGAGGAAATAGCATTTGAAAGTGCATGACAGTTAATAGACCAACTGAAACGAGAGGCTAGCAAAACCTTAAAATGTTCGCTACGCAAACGTTTTATACACTGCCGTAGGAAATGACAAAGGACAGCCCGAGCTTGATTACCGAGCTTGATTACCGATTACCGAGCTTGATTACCGCCGCCCGGTTAGCTCAGTTGGGAGAGCGCCGGTCTGCTGAGCGGGAGGTCGCGAGTTCGAATCCTGGCCGGACCAACACTCAGGGTCTTAAAAATAACTGAGGAGAAAGTGCTGTCTTTGTAATGACATCTGCAAATGATTAGACTTTCAAGTCTTCTCGGATAAGGACGATAAACCGGAGGTCCCGTCTGACAAACCTTGTTCACATATAACTCTGTGGGACGTTAAAGAACCCACACACTATTCGAAAAGAGTAGGGGACGTAGTTCCCGGTGTTGTGGTCTATCTTCATCACTTACATCATCACTCATCATGAGTTGGGAGGGTTCAGTGGGCTCATAAATGGACTGATAGCGGCTGCCATCGGCGCCCTTAGTATGCTGATGTCCCAGCCCACTGCAAAAAGCTATGTAAAGAGGACATGTATGTTTGTCCTCTCAATCGCGACATTTACATTTACATTTACATTACGATTTACGAACCTTTGACTATTTGCATAAAAGGAAAGTCTTTTTCAAGAACAGCTTACCATGTTCACATTGTTCACCAGTGAAACCAAAAGGACATAAACACCGATATTTTTTCGTTGTGAATCCAGACTGACAGGTACCGTTGTTTTGGCAACGGGGAGTATCACAAGCACTCTTTGAAAGAACAAAAATCAGGTTTGAATTGTAAGAGAAGAAGTTACGTTAAACCGTCTTGATAGAGCGTCAACTACAAACTACAAGATGATGATGATGATGATAATAAGACAATGGTAATTATTACAATCCTGATGATAATAATTATTAATAGGGAGCTTAAGCAACGACGACGTCAAGGGCAAGGAAAACGCAAATAGGTTAAATAGATTAAGATTAGGAAAACAACATCTTTGCACGTAGATCACGTTTTCTGTACATTTCCCAGACCTCGCTACACGACTACGATGTGGAACTTCTTAGTTTCACCTTTTCTGGAGGACGTGAACACAAGACAACGATTCTTTATTTTAACGTTATTATTTATTTTTTTAACTTTGATGCAGTCCTTTACAATGCGACTCCAGAAAAACTCACCAACATTTGGTGACCAATTGAACGACGTGCAATAAGAACGATAGATTTTGATACAGCGTGAATTCAGTCTTTAAGGACGTTTTCGCCACGGTCGTCTTCGTCGTTGCTTAAGTTCCCTCTAATGACGAAGATGGTGACCATTGTGATGATGATGAAGATGTCGACAGTGGGATGATGATTGCCTTGAAGATGATGATGATGAAAGAAAAAGTTGACGAGAAAAGAAAAGACAAAAAACTTACAATTGCTCCATGATATAAGCAGCCTTTCCTCTCTTTTAAGTCCTCATCGTGCGCTCGGTGTGTTGAATGGTTCAGTTCACATCGTTTATGTCTTTGGATCTCGTAATTCACACTGACGCAGTTTGGTTGGTTGTAACAAAGCATTTCACAAAGACCCATATCCGGGACATGTTGGACAACTAAGAACGTGTGGCTCTCCAAACATTTGTCAGCAACTGGGAAATAACTCGGAAACGCCAGTACGCGGCAATTACCTGAATTGAAAAAAGAAAAACAATTGCATTTAGCAATTCCAGGAGCTCGTGGCCAATTCTGACCTTTTCTGGCGGCAAAAAGAGCTTCAATTAAAAGCAACTGTCCTTTATAAACAAGATTGTAGTTCATGGAACATAATGACCTATATTTTCGGTTATACTCCTTAGCTTCAAGCTATGTTTTATCTGACATTTAATCATGAAACTACCATGTATGTTAATTAACCTTGCTGAGGTTTTCTTGGAATCGCATCAAACTGGCTTAAAACAGCAATGTACATCAAATAGTGACAAAAAGGAGGTGGAATTAACTTAGTTCTCAAGGCCAATTTCAATTTTCTGTTAATTAGTCGAGCTCTATAAAGAAAACCCCCTTTTTTAGGAAAATATATACGATAATTTTTTTTGGAAAAGCCAAGCAAAAGGCTGAAACAAGAAAAACAGGAAGAAGGTATTCCCACCTGTCTTGAATAGTGGTAATCTATCGTGTTTATTGTGAAAATATTTTCCCCTTATTACGCAAATAACAGAATTATTTGTTTTCTGGCAACTTCCCTCTTGTGAACGAGTTTATAATCCGAGTATGAAACCATAGTGACAATATGGAAACTCAATTTTATATTTCTTTAAAAAAATTGTCTTGCACGTACTTATCTCCTGTTATTTAACTTTTAAATAGGTTTTCATGTTGTACATTGAGTGCGCTGTCAACTTTATAATCTAACAAAATAGCAAAACTCAGGCACTGGATAGACAACACAGCTAAAGAATTAACCATAAGCCGTAAAAAAGTCATTTTTATGGGCAGTATCTTAGAGCAGAATAGTGTGCAGCTACTCTTGTTTCCAATTTTTAAAGTCGGTCTAACTAATTTTTTTTTATCTTCTTTCAAGAGATAAATGTGTTTCTCACTATTTTGTCGCTCAGTTTTGAAAATAGCGAGCCAAAGATGATTGAAACAACAAGGCGGAAAGAGAAGGACTTACCATCCAAACAGCTGAAGCAAATTCTTAAAGAATGCATGTACAGCATAAAGAAAATACTGTAGTGAAGAACAACTCCCATGATCGCTGCCTTGTTCGCGGATCGCAAGTCTCCTGAAAAGTCGAGTGCATTAAGTGCGGTTAAGCTACAACGGGGATGTAATTTATAGTATACCGGTAAACAGTTCAATACCACCCGTCGCATTTTAACATAAACGTCAAAACTTCAATAAGATAGTTTAATAATCGCTGGAAGCATTTTACTGATAGTAGTATAAACAAATAATAGCATGATTTGTACGTGATATTTGGCATAAATACCACTTGTGATATTTCAAAATTGTCTCAAATTTCACTCGCCTAAAGGCTCCTGAAATTAGGTATAACAGTTTTGAAATACCTCTCGTGGTATTTATGCCAAATATCACTACAAATCACGCTATTACCTATACTAACGCATACCAATGCACATACATGTGCACAAAAAGAGACTTCCAGATCTATTGAAGATGTACCTTTTCTAGCGTTAACTGTGCTCTCATTAATACCGTCTTTAGGTTCTTACACCGTTCGTGGTAAACAAAATTTGGCATAAACTAATGTTGAAAGAAAGGTTTTAATGATCTTTAATAACTTTGCTTCAAAATATTAGGGCCTAGCCGGATAGGCCATTGTCGCAAGGCTATCTCAGACTCGCTATGAAACTTTTTGATATGAAAAATAGGGTAGATTTTGAAAAAAACAACATCATCTATTATTCAACGATAAGTTCGCAAATTTCAATTATTTTTGTCTCTGCCAATGTTTTTACATCAGAGTAGTGAACCCTTTCACAACTGAACTTAGTAAACCGCAAATAAATCTTAAAATAAGATGAAAAATAAAACAACATTGTTACGTTACATGTATGTAGACAATGCTCTAATAAATAATGAAAAGATAAGCAGGTGTTGACTGGACGATTCCACACTCTATTCTAATGCACTAGAACATGACTAGCTCCGTGGTTGTCTACCCATTGGCACCAGCCATGTATGGCCACAGGCATACCAAGCTTTTAGCTCGGTCCGTTTTACATGGTCCTGTGGCTATACATTCGAGTCCCGCTTTGCGGACATCTGCTTAATACGAACGCTTCGTTATTACGGACAGCTTTCTTTGTTCCTGGACAAAGCCCTTACATTTTAACCCGCTTAATAAGGACACTCAAATCCTTTTTTGTAAGCGTCATTAATTAATTTTAACTCTGATATTCTGGTCTTGGCTCAGAACCCCTGAGTTTTCATTCTATGTATACGTAATTAGTGACATCCTGCGTAACCTCGGTTCGTCTGTGGCGCTGGGTAATTAGTGAAGACCTGATGCTATCAAGCGTTTAAAACTTAACAAAGCCACTGGACTGTATAAAAATAGCTAGATCTGACAGGCTTGATAACCATTTTGCCTTATTAACTATGATATTACAACTGATTCTACTGGAATAATTCACAAATTAAGCTTCTTTTTATCTTCAAAATCCGTACGAGCATTACACCATTCGCTAATCCTTCCTTCCTTAGTAATTGCAACGTAGTTTGAGGCTCCGCTTATAAATTATTTGAAGCTTATCTCAAACGGATTGTACATGTAATTTGTTAAAAGCAAGTCAGTGGTAAGTCCCATTTCGATGTACATTCTGCTCCAATCCATGAAAACTTTGGATTTTAACATTCCATGATATAAAGTTACTAAAATTAGGTCCAGGGGCGGATCTAGCGGGAGGGTGAAGGGGTGCGCCCCTCCTCCCGCCCCCCTCCACCCATGAGATGACTTGTGGCTTTCTAATACAACAGGTGTTCTGTATTAAGACTTGTTTACGTCGCCAGTTAGTTACGCCATTCCTTGTGCACTCCCTCTTAAGTAAAATCCTGGATCCACCCCTGAGGTCTCTTCATGTAGTCCCGTCTAAGCCGAGCCAAACTGTACTCCTTTCCTCCCTCGAAAATTGCCTTACATTAACAAATTCAGATTCATATCAAACTAGAAACTCTGGTTATTTCGTTTTCTTTAATATAGGAAAATAGAATTTTTATATTGACAATTCCCTGACACCCTGCGAGCAGAGCCTCCTTTTGTCTTCTTGAGCGAGGAGGAGAAAAGGTGTCTCTGCCTGAATCGCATCAAGCCTTTGAAGTTGCTGCAGCCCAAACTTCTGGACTAGTCAATCTTGTCCTCTCTCCTCAAACTATTTTTTTCAGTGCGAGTATCTTTCTACTTATCAACCGATGGTCATAATTGAACCCGCTGTACTAATTGCAGGGCTATTAGCCCTGGGTTCGGTTCGTCTGTGGCGCTGGGTAATTAGTGAAGACCTGATGCTATCAAGCGTTTAAAACTTAACAAAGCCACTGGACTGTATAAAAATAGTGCACACCTGCTCAAGGACTCTGTCCATGCACGCCGTTGTTACCACCTATATATCGCCATAATAGGGACCTTTTCCCTCTACTTAGAAAAATTCGAGAGTTGTACCCTTCATTCTAAGTTGTACCCTTACATGAGAAAGGTAATAAACAGGAATCTTGGGTCATTTTCCATTTTGCCTACTTTTTTCAACATCATAGAAAGGGCTATCCACACCCAAATCTATGGAAAGAACGAGAAAACATTAAAACGGTTCAGTTTCAAACTTGAATGACAATACCCAGTCTAACCAAGCTACAGTATCTGTAGGAGTTGCCCATGGTACAACCTGCTATTGTTTATATTCTATGTGAATGATTTGCAAATGTCCTGGAGTTTGCTTTATTGTTACTTGTATGCTGATGACTCTGTTTTATATTGATATATCGCCTTGAAACATATAATATTTCAAGAACTGAATCTAAAACGATTTGAACTCAGACCTGGCAAGTTGTGTTAAAATGAAGAATTCGCAGCTGGCAGTAATGCGAGGCTTAATAGAAATGACTCCACTACTATTTCATTCTTCAAGCACTCTTTCCTTTTTTGGGCATGGTGCTATGAGACAACTTATTCCTAGGCTACCAGTTCTGCACAGTAAGGCTGCGCGAATTTCTAAATCAGATCCCGCGCTTCTGAACGCGACACTTTTTAGTGAAGACTCAACTGAAAGTCTTTACATCGCGCTTAGTTGCTTGCTTCGGTTTATAACCTTTTTATGCAGTCGTGTAACTGTTCTAAATAAGCGTCAATTCTCATAACTGTACTAGATGGAAGCATGATAGCCGACAATCTTTTGCTTCTAGAAAATGGGAACAGTGGGTAACTTTAAACATTGTTGCAGATTTATGGGATCGTTTAGAGTTACTTTAAGAGAAACACCCACCATAGTTGTATTTACGCGACTCTTTTCCAAAGCCAAATTTGCATCCCTAGTTTAATTTCAGGAGCAAACTCGAAAAAATATAAAGCAGATACAGTTGAACCCTGTTACTAAAATTTTTAACGTGTCATGTTATTTTAAAGGTCACGTGAACCAAAAAATTGAAATATTTTCTTTTGTCGCTTTACCTTCACCAAACACTAAAAAGAACCATCCTAAGCCTTTAAAGGAAGATAAAAGATCAAAATCCGAGCATTTCCGAAGACTTCACGAAAACGTTTCTGAAATGGCCGCGTGATAGACTGGAGACTATGACGTCAATGTTTGTCTTTCAGGGCAGAAAAACGTTCTGCGCAAGCTTCTGCGCATCCCTTATCGCCTGCGTTTGTTTGTCTCGTTCTGTGAGAGTTCTGACTGAGACTGAATGAAATACACGAGGTGCGTACGTTTGCTCCTTGTAAAGGCTTTTTGTTTTTGTTGTTGTTGTTGTTTTTTCGTCACTTGAAAATTACTTTGGATTCAGAACAACCAATGTTAGAGTAAAAACAGATCATTCTTCAGTCTGAGGAGGAATAAAACGTTTTGAACATTTCCAAAGAGGTTTGTATTTTTCTGATAATGGTACGTGCATTCGATTTGTGAATTGATTTGGTGTCCAGTGCTTCGCCTTCTTTCGCCGGGTTGAATTAAAACCCGCTTGTATTGTGTTATTAGTTGTTACGGTTAGTTTTTTACATGCCCAGATTCATTTACATTTGCAGAACCAGCTTTATCCTTTAGGAATGTCAAAGAACCGTAATGCTAACGCTTGCGAGTGAACAAACTTGAGCGCTTAAAACTTTCTCGGAACTATACAAGGCTAGCAAGCTAATTCGAGAAGAACAGACTACTTACATCACTTTTCCGTTGCTCAAGTAATAATAGTCAGAGTATCTTTTTTTTCTTTTTAATTTTTAATTACATAGTTTTGTTTTCTTTCTTTCTTTTCCTTTCCACTTGCTATGAAGTAGCTGAGAACGTCAACTGCCGGCAGTGGCTTCAAAACAATTGACTCTTTGCCCGTAAACAATTGCTGGAGCTGGATTTGACTGAAGCGTGCAAAACAAACTCTTATGTGCAGTTTTCTGTACTTTCTAGTGATTCAATTTGCTGAGTTTAATTTGCTTGAATGAATTAAGACCCTCGCATGGACCAGTTTTTAAAAATAGCTAATTGGTGAATCATGGCTTGGGTGCGAAGCTTGCAACTGATCTTTTGAAATAAGATCTTTATTAGGTAGGTTATTTCGCACAGAAGATTCACTTCTTCATTGTCAGCAGATATAAGAGCCTTAAGCCTTATGTTTTTTGAGTGGAGATTTGTTGTTTTGCAACCTTATTGAAGCTTTTTTTAGTTCACTTAAACTGAATTTTATGCATGATGGAATTGTTCTTTGCTTGTCGCCTCTCTTTGCGAGCTTAAAGCGGCGTCTATGGTTCTTAAAGTGACCTCAGTCGTAATTAAATCATATAAATAACTGGAGAGAAGTCAACTTTGTTTGAAGGAAATCTTACTTGGTTTTTGAGAACGTGACAACACAAAGCAAACTTTATCTGCGCGAAACGATCAAGTTTAAAAAACTTTAGTTGCTTTGAAACCGATTTTGGGGAAGATTTTGCTAGATGATTAACTCTTTTTGTGCCCACATATCAACGCCAAAACTTCTACATTGAGGATTTTGTTTATATTTTAGTGTTCTGCGAAGCAAAAGTGTGCGATCGAGCGTGGGTTTTAAAATATCAGCTCGAGTGCGACAAAGTTCAATGACTTCAAACACATTGCGGGCAAGCGTGAATTTCTTTGGGCAAATCACTTTACAAAGATATTTTCTTTTTGTGTCCACAGTGGAGCTCCGGACCTTATATAACCAGAAACTTCCTTATATGAACACATTTTGTGAATACATCTTGAAAAAAATCGGGCCTAGGCACGCACATTTCCAGTACAGCGCAAGGAAATTAATGCCGTCGTTAAAGTCCGTTTAACTATGATGTATTCTTCGAGAAAATTAAATAATAAGGTAGTAACCACAGCTTGCAACTTTTGAAGACAAATTGCTTGTTCTTTCTAGGTTTATGGCCGCACAAACCACCACAATTTGTGCGCCAAGTCGACTCAAAAAACACTGTTTTGAATTTCCCGCTTTTTTTCACCTGACCAACATTGACGTCACAAGCTGTTTTTACCGACAATTTTTCCGACCGCTCTACGAAGATAAGGGCCAAAAAACAACAATTTTTAATTGCAAAAATCTCGGAGATGCTTGCTTCAATTGAGCTGAAACTTCATAGCATGTTTATTCGGTTCATATTAAACATATTTCACTAGAATTGAACTAAAATAAAAAATGTCGAATTTTTGGTTCATTTGACCTTTAAGTAAACAAACAAACTTCTTTTGGTGAACAACTGAAAAACTAAAGAAATACTTTAAAAAAAAAAAAAAACATTGCTGCAGTATTTCTAACGGGCCACCGAGGCCATATAGTCTAGTAAACACGAGCACTACCTAGCTCATCACCGCTAAACTACAAAACACACTGGCTCCGTCAAGTCACATGACTCTAGACTTCCCGCGCTAGGGAAGTTAATTTCCGGATGTACACTATACAATTGCTATTTCTAGTTTCAACGCAGACTACGTCCTTCTGGTTTGCGCTCATTACTTAATCAAAAACAGTTCTCTGTGTATTAAACTCATTTATTACTTTAAAAAGTCAGCAAATGACGTCTCCACTTCATCTTATCCCGTCTACCGTAGCACTGTAAACATCGAAATGCTGACATCCGAGGATAACTTCAGCAAAGGCAAGGATTAATACAGCACACGGTTGATAACAAACTGTCATATTATCGAGGTTAACTTCCTCCGGCCTGAGAATCTATTGATTGTAGTCAGGAGCTTATGGCTGTTGGAGTAGAAAAAAGTAACCTTTGTCCGCATTAACAGGTGTCCGCATTACGGGTGTCCGTATTCAGGGTTCATACAGAAAATTGCAGCCATTTTCAAGGACTTTTGAAGGAGTTTTCAATGACCACAATGGATTTTCAAGGACCACCTACTAGGAATATAATTTCACAGATTGTACAAAAATGCACGTTCCCAGTCTACTCTAATAAGACTTTAACGCTTGAACTGTTTGTTTCACCAACTTGTCTACAGTTTTCAGTTCACTTGTCTTTAACTGATAGTTACTTATTGCATAAAACATAGAGCACTTTATGAATATAACCTTTCAATTCTCTGAGCTATGATTTATATTCTGGACAACCAAAAAGCATCAAATAATTCTTTCTAGGCCACTACGTTCAAAGTTGAAGAAAATTCAAGGACTTTTCAAGGAGAAATGGAATTCAAAGAACTTTTCGAGGACTTCCCCTAAAATTCAAGGACTTTTCAAGACTTGCGAACCCTGGTATTATGGGTGTTAAAATGGAACGGCTTCTTCCAGGGACAAAGGAAGCTGTTCCGTGAAAACGAAGCATTCGTATTAAGCGGATCAAACGTCCGCAAAGCGGGGCTAGAATGTTTAGCCACAGGACCCTGAAAAACGTACAGTGTTCACGTAGAGCTTTTATGAAGCCAGTCCGTTGGTCCGTCCAAAATTAGAACGGTGGCGTGAACGACGAAACGCGGGCGCGTAGAGCTTGGTCAGCCTGTGGCCCAGTAGAGTTGGTCCCAGTCCCTCAGCGGTCAGTAGAGGTGCAACAGCGAAGCGTCCATCGGTTTGACGACTTTTGAAAACTTCTCTCACCTCCAAAATCGTAATGAAGTTGCCATTTCCTCGACTACATGTGGATGCATCGGCTGTTGCCGGACTTATTGAGTGGTATTGCAATCGACTGGGAATGAGTCGATTGCACTGGGTTGGTTATCAGCCATCAGCGGTTGTAGAATTTCGCTCGTCTCTCAAGCAACCTACACCACCAAAGTATTACAAACCGCAACTATCGTCTGATGTTTACTGGAAGATAGGATTATCACTTGCAGATGTAGACACAGCTCGTTCAAAGCTTGTACGTCAGGACGTGGAGGTCACTTCTCCAAGACAGTTCCGGGATATCGGATACATGTGCCACTTTAGCGACCCGTTTGGATTTTCATTAGAGCTACTTCAGCATGATTTCCAGTCTAATTTTAGTTCTGAGCGCGTACAAGCCTCTCTTGAACCGAACCTGGCGCTTGGGCAGCAAGCGGACATCGGGCAAATCACTCTTCGTGTTTCTGATATCAATCAAAGCCTTCAATTTACCAGTCTGCAACAGGTATGAAGTTTTAAACTGTCGATACAGAGCCTTTTAAACATGTTCAACCTATACTTGTTAGCTTGTACAGACGAGAAGCCACCTTCAAATGATTTAAACGCGGGGGAAATCCGGGAATGGCTTTGGAAAAGGCCTTACACCACTTTAGCAGCATTATCCCGGGACGAACCTGAAGTACAACACTGCAGACTTGAACCATGATGGAGGCTTTACTGCGCTTGCGTTTATAGTTACTGCAAAGCGGTTTGAGGAGCTTAAGGTCTCTTCTAGTGTGGAGGATGTAGGCAATAATTATGCAGAATACAATTCTAGTTAGCCATTCGCCATCAAATCATTATTAATTTCTCTATTAATTTGTTATGAAAAGCTCTTCAAACTTTGATTTTAAGCTCATCTGTGAAAATACTATGGTTACCCCAAATATCTTTATGGTTTCTATCAAACCTTTCTTTGTTACAAAGGTTTCGTGCTAGACTTCTATCCAAAGCCATTTTTTTCCCAAAAAAGGTAAATTCACTTGGCAACATGATGCAGGGGCACGCACTAATAAGTCAGGTGTACAAATTGCAAAGATAATAATAATGATAATGATAATGATGATAGAGCTAATAAAGACTTAATTATTAATGTGTCAAATGCCTTGCTTAGACAAGTGTAAACTTATTGTGGACACCTATTAACTAGTTAACTACCTAAGAAAATAGAAAATCGAACAACTAAAAATATACAAACGCGGAACTGCGCCCGCCTCATTAATTATTCTAAGAGTTACACAGGTGACAGTTCTTACAGGTGTCAGTTCTAATGAGGTTCTCAATGTCCACTCCAGTTTCTCACCCGGTTCTTAAAAGAAGCAAGTGTTAAAGAACTCTTAAGGTGGCTCGATCCAGTAATTTGACAGGCACACACCCCTTCTTTGAATTTCTCATACTTAAACAATTCGTCTTTTATTGTAAAACCATTATAACACATGGAATACACTTAGACTAACCTTTAATATGGTATTATTTTGGGGGCAAACACGTGACAATGACTTCACAATGGTTTTAGCCCTAAATCGAATTTCAGCCTTGTTCGGCATTTTTTAGAAATGCTTTACGCTACGTATTCTTTGGAATTTCCTCTGCTGGGCGAAGTTTCACAAAAATCTATAAGAGGAATTCGAGATATCTTACAAGTTCTACAAAAAGAGTTTAAATTATGCATGCACTGAAGACTGGACTTAATACAGACAAATTTTCTACCTTTTGGACGTTTTAGAAAAGGTTTTATTACTCATTCGTTTTGCAAATGACCCTTGTACACTCGCAAGCCTCTGAACGCAAGCACACTAGTACGATTCCAAAACACATGAAAACGTATGAATCAGGGTAAAACGCAATGCTGAGCTCTTTTTGTAATTTCTAAGGCTACTTTCTCGGAAACAGCCAGTAAAAAAATTCGTCGATAGCTTGTTTAAAACATTTTCATTACAATAATTGATCAGTGTACTATTAAATCCCCAAATTTCGTGTCGATTGAAAACATGACTTTTAAAGTTGTCGAACATGGGCGCAAAAGTGAGTAAATAGCGAGGCGATGTCATAGATAACAATTATTCACCGAAGTTGAGGTGGCTAGTCGTATTTACCGAGCTGCGAAGCAGCAAGATACATATCCACCACAGTGAGATAATTGACCACAAAAATGATGATTTTTAACTCATTTACTGTTGCCAACGATTACAATTTTAGCGCGCAATGACCGAGCGGCAGCGTTCGTCGCTTTTTCTTGCGGGCAAATAAAACTTTTGAAGGCATTTTTTTAGCTCTTGCGGGGAAATTTCTTCAAAAGGAGTTGTGAATTCTTTGTGTGTTTAAAATCATTCTGTAAAAAACAACGATTAAATTTAGTTTTAAGTTTATTTATGAACAAGTCAACTAAATAAAGTAACGCAAGACTTAAGCTTAATTTGCATTCGTAAGCAAAAAACTTTTTCACCGGTTTTATCGATAACTTCAAGTAAAAAAGACAAAGTTTTATACCTGTTAAAACTTCCAAACCGAACTTCGTCACCTTCTTCGTTTATTTCGGGAACAGCTTGCTTGATTAGTTGTGAAAATTCTTTGTTTGCTACGGCAGCAAACCGGGAAGGCCTTTTGCTCGCAACTTAAGCGTAGCTCGCTCGAAGGAACTGGAGGTGAATCAGTGAATGCTGCAGGATATTCACTGGTTGAGTAGCCAATAAGAGCTCGCGAAAAACACTATTCACTGTTTTAGTACATACTAAATATGGATATTTCATTTCCTGTTATTCCGAGTTCAGCACAACATCAAATTCTCATGCAGCACGCGAGAATTTATCGCGCTTGGTTGCCCTCCAAAATCTTTCCGAAATGTGGTAATGTTGTAGAAAGGGTGGAAACAATAGTGAATACTCCGATGCCCCAAAAATAATACCATAATAAAGTTTAGTCTAAGTGTAATCCATGTGTCATAATGGTTTTACAATAAAGAACGAATTTTTTAAGTATAAGAGATTCAAGGGGGGTGCGCCTTTTAAAATACTGGGTTGAGCCACCATAATGTGTATACTTAAATTGGACCATATTGCAGGGCCAATATATCTAATACTGTGTTTCCCATAGGTATTGGTGTTTATTCTTGGCATCGGAAAATTGCCTGAAATTTCTCAGGTTATAAATTCGGCTGCTTAAATTATCATAGATCTATGGATTTGATCAGCTAATTAAACAATAATCCTTCCAGGGAAGAAAGCTAGTACTTTCCATATAATCTCTTAAATGAAATCAAAACGATGTTCTCACAATCTGCAAATTGAAACATCAAGGGTCGAGCCAGCAGATTTGTGTACCAAAGATCAACAGTTTTGGGAAGCCACAAAATCATGGCTATCAAAGGCAGGATTGTTTCTCATAATATTATACCGATGTTTTGGTTATTCGTAACTGTATTGATTTTATGTCGCTTTTCAGACGTAGTGTTTTGCTTTTTTCTTTAAAAAATTTTCCTACGCAGAGTTTTGAATATGCATAAGACATCGAGTAGTGTTTTGCGCTGCAAACCTAAGGAAAGTTTAGGTCGCTTTTAAAAGTACAAAACTGATGGTAAGTGAAAAAAGTAAAATGTTATCACTGATAACTCTTATAATATTCTCCTCGCCCGGCAAATACAGTTGAACCTCGATACAACAAACCTCTATATAACGAAGTCCTCGGTATAACGAACAATTTTGCCAGTCCTTTGGCCCTTTGTTGTATGGACGTTCCACTGTACCTATAGACTCGATCGATAGTGCAGCGTCTATTGTTGTCGGGTAGACTCGATCGATAGTCCACCGTGCATTTTTGTCGAGTAAGAATTAACACAGTCGCAGTGAGTATCGTTTGCATTTTGCAATTTCGATACCAGAAAAATATAATGGTTCAAGGCAAAATGATTAAAAAAAAAGTTTATTTTAACATCACCACAAGGTCTTCATCAGTCGAGTGTTCGAATTAACTATCAATCATGTGCTTTTTACCGTCAAAACCTTGCTTTTCCCTGAAATATCCCTTTGAATTCATCTTTCAGTACATCGATTAGACGTTGAATTGCGTGCAAGGATTGGATTCCTTATTTCTATCCGGCAACTGAAATGACGCTAAATATGCTTTGAAAAATACGCACAAAAACGAAGAAGTAGGAAGCCCCAAAGGTTATTCGCTACTGGTCACCCAACCAGTTCTAACTGCGACCGGCAGGACTTGCAGTGTATGCAACACCGAGTTTTGCGAGGATTTGCGAGATACGTATTTCTAGTTAATTTTTTCGAAAACCGTAGTCTCCACTGAGAGCAGGGAAAAATTCCTTTCGTTAATTATCAGCGGTTGTGAAATGAAACCCGTCTAATGGCTATGTGGATAAATGAGCATGACCCGGCCCAGCGGAGGGAAGTGTTGCAGGCTCAGAATCACTTTCCTTTGTAATGCAGCCACATTCGAAAATACCATCCAACACGAACAAGATATCTAGAGCGTGTCATCCCAGTACCAAGACAAAATATGGATGGTTTCCAGTCAGCTTTCGGCTGACGTCTGTTCTTCGCGGTGATGTCCCCTGAAACATTTTTTTTTTTTGCACCCAAATGATCGCATTCTCATGCATGGTGCTATATCAGGAACTTTAATTTTCTAATTTTCTGCTTTACTTCAATGTTTTAAACAATTCATCTGCGTTACTAGATCAGTGGAGGAGACTGGTTATGAAATTCTACCAAATCATTACATACATCCGGGTTACCATGAGAGATGCGCACGCACCGCCGCAGGTCAGTGCATGTATCGTTCGCCGTGGGTTTAGTCGTGTGTATTTTTCTCCGATATTTCTGCGCCTTTGGCAGCTGCTTATCACGGTAAGTTTACAGTTACTTTTTCGTTTATTTTTCTTTTACTGTGGACGCGCTCCACATTACATTTTCCAGCCGTTATTGTCTGGATTTTTTTTTCCTTTTTCGTGCTCTGTGACGCGTCACAGGCGGTCTCGGCTCTTGTGCCGAATTATAATTTTATGAGAAGACTCCTGGACGTGTCCAGAGTTTAAGCAATTGTGGTGTAACGCGTTTATACCCTTTCCTCGTATCTTTACAAGTCTCAACGAGTTTGTGACTAGCTACATAGCCGGTTATTTGGACCGGTTGTTTTGATACCACGTGGCGGACGAGTCCGCCATTTTGTAGTGCAAAAAGCTTGACGTGTTCTTTATTCATCTTAATTTCTTCAGACGATGTCTGAGGAGTCTCAGAAAATTGCAAATTCTGGAGGTACTTCGCCCGTGGACTTCAAGGCGATGTTTGCTGAACTTTTAGATGATGCCAAAAGAGACATTTTGGCTCACGTGCAAGACTCTATCGAGAAGGTTTATGCCGATTTTGAAGATTATGAGACCGGCCCTGAGAGCGGTGAAGCGAGCACTGAGTGTTCGGATACAGCTGTTGCAACGACTGTTGCAACTAAAATAAATGATTTTATCCAGCCAAAAACCTCAGACCATGCTGAAGGCTCGGATGGCGGTTCCTTTAAATCACTCGCTGATGAATTTAGCGTTCTAGAGAAAACTTCACCTGCCATAGATGCAAATTTGGCAGAAATAGTGAAGAGTCTGCTTACAGAGAAGCTCACAAAGAAAAGTTGGCCGAGGTACAGAACAAGTACCTCAGACCTGAAAAAAACTGCACTAATTTGGTTGCACCCAAGATAAACAAGCAAATTTGGCAACAATTACGACAGGAGACCAGAAACAATGATTCACCTTTCCAGAAGGCACAGTCCTTGCTCTTGTCAGGTTTATATGCTGTACTTCAGCTGTGCAACAGTGCAAATGGGGATCAGAGGAATGTTTTGACCCATACAGCAGTCCTGCTGTTGTCAGCAAATAGAGAGCTTAATCTGAAACGAAGAGACCTCATTCGTCCTGACCTAAACAAGCAATATGCTCTTTTATGCAACCCATCTACAGCTGTGTCAACATTCTTGTTTGGAGATGACCTAAACAAGGAAGTGGAAGAGTTAACAAAGTCACAAAAGCTCAGCAATAAAGTGACTCCTAAGAGACGCATGGAACCTTACAAAGTCCCCGCCTCTAGAGGTGTACGTGGTCGTGGCCGCTTCGGTCATAGTGCTGGCAGGGGAAGAGCCTCCTCTAATTCTTTTTTAGGTCAAGGCCGGGGCCATGCTCGGCCCCACCAGAATCCCAGGACCTCGGCAACCAAGACCCAGTAGGATCACCAGCTGAGGTAAGTCAGACAACTCTTGCTACTACTATTATTGCAAATCAAACTCCTTTTAAGGCAGGAGGGCTGCGGGACTGTCTTCATGTATGGAAGACTATCACATCAGATCCTTTTATCTGGGATGCAGTTACTCACTGTCATATTGAATTTGACTGGGAACCTGGAGTATGTACTAGTGTTACTAGGCCTTTTTGTTCCTTTACTGAAATTGAACAGACTATCATTGACAATGAAGTAGAAAAATTCCTTCTTAAAGGGATAATAAGGCTATCATCACATGAGGATGGCCAGGTGATATCTCCAATTTTTACAAGGCCTAAGAAAGATGGGTCTCACAGGGTTATATTTAACCTAAAGAAACTGAATGAGTCAGTGACATACCATCATTTTAAAATGGACACGGTAGAGACAGCTATTAGACTCATGAGGCCTGGATGTTACATGACATCTATAGATCTGAAGGATGCGTATTACTCTATCCCTATTGCAGAAGAACATCAGAAATATTTAAAATTTATTTGGAGGGATCAATTATATGCTTTCACTAGCCTGCCTATGGGATTGACTAGTAGCCCTAGGATTTTTACGAAAGTTCTAAAACCAGTCTTTAGCTACTTGAGGAGTCAGTTTGGCCACACCTGTCTGGGCTATATTGATGACTCTTTCTATCTGGAAGATAGTTATACAGAGTGTGAAGAAGCCACATTACGTGCTATACAACTTTTTGTCAGTCTGGGTTTTAAAATCCATCCAGAAAAGTCCGTTATTATACCAACACAGATCTTAGAGTTTTTAGGATTTATTTTGAACTCTATTCTCATGTTAGTTACTTTGACTAACAAGAATGCTGTTAAAATTTTACAGTTGTGCCAAAAGTTCTCTCTTCCAAATAAACGGTTTACTATTCGTGAAGTTGCATCTTTTCTTGGGACCTTAGTCTCCAGCTTTCCAGGCGTGGAATTTGGCCCTTTACATTATCGCCACATTGAGGTTGACAAAGAAGCAAATTTGAAATTGAAACGGGGGAATTTTGATTCATTCATGACCTTGTCTCATGACAGTTTGGAAGAGATTCACTGGTGGTCTGCAAATATTCTAACAGCATCAAGAAGAATTTTTCATAATAGCCCTGATGTAGTTGTTTACACTGATGCATCCCAAATGGGTTGGGGTGCTCAAATCGAACATGGGAATAACACTAGTGGCATCTGGTCTAAGTCAGAGTCATCCAGGCACATAAATTACCTGGAATTATTAGCAGTTAAGCTTGCTCTGTCCTCCCTACTTGATGCCCGGAACAACATTCATGTGCGGGTTATGTCTGATAACAACACTGCTGTGTCTTACATTAATTCTATGGGAGGTTGTAGATCTTTAGAATGTAACTCCATTGCTAAGGATATTTGGGATTGGGCTATTGACAAAGATATTTGGTTATCAGCAGCCCATATTCCAGGATCAAGCAATATTGATGCTGATCAGTTATCTCGGAATTTGAATTTGGATCTGGAATGGATGCTTTCCGCTCCAATTTTTCAGAGGATAGTAGCTTTATTTGGCAAACCAGATATAGATCTATTTGCTAGTAGACTTAATGCTCAGGTAAAGGATTATGTTTCCTGGAAACCACATCCAATGGCAAAGTTTGTGGATGCTTTTACCATTGATTGGTCACAATTTTTCTTCTATGCTTATCCTCCATTTTGTCTTGTTTCAAGGTGTGTACAGAAAATAATTCACGACCAGGCATCAGGAATTCTAGTAATTCCCTTGTGGACAACTCAGCCTTATTTTACGGCTGTACTGAGCCTACTAACGGAAACGCCACGTGTATTCAATGCTTCAGTTCAGAACCTGATTCATCCAACTCTGGACGGTCCTCATCCCCTACACCAACGCCTGCAGTTGATGGTATGCAAGTTATCAGGCGATCCTTGCAAGAGTCTGAGATTTCGCCAGACATTGTCCACATCATCATGCATTCATAGAGAGACAGCACTCAGAAACAATATAAAGTGTATATTAACAAGTGGTTGCAATTTTGCAGTGAAAGAAAGATTGATCCGTTGCATCCCACTGTAACGGCTGTACTCTCTTTTCTGCACAGTCTTTTCAAGAGTGGCTTGAGCTATTCTGCGTTGAATACAGCTCGGTCTGCAGTCTCTAACATTGGTATGAGTGATAATGATGCTCCATCTCACACACCTGTTGGGAAGCATTTCCTTGTTTGCCGTTACCTTAGAGGGGTGTTCAACAAGCTCAAGCCTGTGCCAAAGTATAACAATATCTGGTCCGTGGATACTGTCCTTGATTACTTGAGTTTATTTTGGCCCCTGCACGAGATCAATTTGAAGGAACTCACCCTGAAATTAGTCATGTTGATTGCCTTAACTACGGGGCAGAGGTGTCAGACTTTGACCTTTTTGGACACATCAGAGCAATATATGCAGAAGAATGATACATGTTTTAATTTTGCCTTAACTGAACACATTAAGCAGGACAAACCTGGCAAAGTGTTTGGCAATGTACGCCTTTACAAGTATCCAGTAAGGGAACTGTGTGTTTATGAAACATTAGATTATTACCTACAGGCTACTGAAAAGCTCAGGAATTCTTCAAAATTGCTTGTTTCGTACATTAAGCCCTATAAGGCAGTAACCTCGTCTACTATCGGACGCTGGATCAAAACTTTGTTGGGACAAGCAGGGGTTGATACAGAAATATTTTCTGGTCATAGCACTAGGTGTGCTTCAACGAGTAAAGCTCTTATGTCAGTTTCCACTGATGTGATTCTAGCAACAGCTGGTTGGACTGAGGAGTCCACTTTTCGGAAGTTTTACAACAAGCCAGTTGCTGTAACAAACCAGATGAGTTTGGCAGTTCTTACTTAGGTTAATGCCTTGTACAACAAAATTGTATTGCAAAGTAGTGTACAATTAAAGTCGGCGTGTGAAGTTGTTTGGGTGTTTTCTCATTTTGTGCTCACTGCGTTAAAGTCTCATGGTAACCCGGATGTATGTAATGATTTGGTAGAATTGAAAATTAAACAAGACTTACCTGTAAGTTGAAGTTTGATGATAATTCTGCCAAATCATTAGTAGTACAGTAGGGTTAACATGCCCATAGCACCCATATGTTCACACCCACCCCTTACGTCGTTTCGGCTGCGTTTTAGTGATCACAAAATTCTTTTAAGACTGACCTGCGGCGGTGCGCGCGCATCTCTCATGTTAACCCTACTGTACTACTAATGATTTGGCAGAATTATCATCAAACTTCAACTTACAGGTAAGTCTTGTTTAATTTTCAATTAAACTAAACAATTTTAAATACAACAACAAAGTGCTGCCGTTTAATTATGTAAGGAGTTCCCTGACGGTGCACAAAGAGATTTAGCTAGATCTGACAGGCTTGATAACCATTTTGCCTTATTAACTATGATATTACAACTGATTCTACTGGAATAATTCACAAATTAAGCTTCTATTTATCGTCAAAATCCGTACAAGCATTACACCATTCGCTAATCCTTCCTTCCTTAGTAATTGCAACGTAGTTTGAGGCTCCGCTTATAAATTATTTGAAGCTTATCTCAAACGGATTGTACATGTAATTTGTTAAAAGCAAGTCAGTGGTAAGTCCCATTTCGATGTACATTCTGCTCCAATCCATGAAAACTTTGGATTTTAACATTCCATGATATAAAGTTACTAAAATTAGGTCCAGGGGCGGATCTAGCGGGAGGGTGAAGGGGTGCGTCCCTCCCCCCCGCCCCCCTCCACCCATGAGATGACTTGTGGCTTTCTAATACAACAGGTGTTCTGTATTAAGACTTGTTTACGTCGCCAGTTAGTTACGCCATTCCTTGTGCACTCCCTCTTAAGTAAAATCCTGGATCCACCCCTGAGGTCTCTTCATGTAGTCCCGTCTAAGCCGAGCCAAACTGTACTCCTTTCCTCCCTCGAAAATTGCCTTACATTAACAAATTCAGATTCATATCAAACTAGAAACTCTGGTGCATTTCGTTTTCTTTAATATAGGAAAATAGAATTTTTATATTGACAATTCCCTGACACCCTGCGAGCAGAGCCTCCTTTTGTCTTCTTGAGCGAGGAGGAGAAAAGGTGTCTCTGCCTGAATCGCATCAAGCCTTTGAAGTTGCTGCAGCCCAAACTTCTGGACTAGTCAATCTTGTCCTCTCTCCTCAAACTATTTTTTTCAGTGCGAGTATCTTTTTACTTATCAACCGATGGTCATAATTGAACCCGCTGTACTAATTGCAGGGCTATTAGACCTGGGTTCGAAACTGAATCCTAGCAACATTCCGCGCGTGCTCAACAAAGATCTTACTCGATTCATGCAGAGTGTTTCTCGAGTACGTCAAAATTGAGCAAGTGAAAGAAAGGCTCCTGCTGGAAACGGGATACCCTGAGTTCTAATATAGTCAATTCAACCTCTCCAGCTCCCTATAAAGAAATAAGGAAAGAATTCAAGGTCTCTAACTGTAGTAAGAATTAGTTACCCTACGAATTATATGTTTATATCTTGTATGTTTACTTTAAATTAATGTTGCAAATATTCAGTAAGCTTGTTTTTGATATAATTATGATACTTTAGAAAAGGTTGTAGCTTTTATTCTTCAACTTGATTGCTTAATTCATAAATTTATCAGTCATTGCTTCAATTTCTTGTTGTATTTGACGCAGGATAAGAGTTTTAGAAAAAAATGTCTTCGTCAGAGCAGTTGGATTCACGCTAAATGGACAATTAAAAACTTCAGCGTACCCACAAGTTTAAAGAGTAGTCTGTAGTGGGTGATCGATCTGCTTTGCTACGAAAATCCTTAATTTTTTCATTCTTTTTAGTTATCCCAATCCCGAGGTATGCTTTTGAGCATCCATCACCTTCTGCGCCGATCATCATGACAGACCTCCTGTGGTTACGTTCGCACCAAAACCCAATTTTATTATCGGTCAGAAGGCTAACCGTTGAGCATCCGTTTCCATTTGCCTGCGCAGAGCCGCCAGTCTCTCTGTACTGGCCGCCAAATGTAGCATTACAGCTACTCCGACACTGATTCTGTGGGAAACCTTCACCATAGCTCGTGTTTATTTTATATCTAAATGTCTGCTGACCCAGGCAGTCATCTGTTGTCTGTAACAGGGCGGTGTGAGGGTCATCACTACGTGTAATCATAAACTCGTTACCGCCTACCAGCCAGAACGCAGGAGAGATCATGTCCATGCCGTCAAGTGGATCAGTTGTTTTTCCCTTAGCATCTTTCATGTCATACTTCCAGAAGCTGCTGTTCGGCCTCCAGTTTATACTGTCATTGTTTGAGACACGAGCAATGAGAGTCCAGCCTTGGCCCTCTTCCATAAAGCAATACACCTTCAAATTAAAGCAAAATAAAAAAGGCAGCCTCTAAGACGTATTCAGTCTGTTACTATTTTGATGTTATTCCATTCTCCTTTTACGTAGTATATTTCAGCGTTAGATAAGGGCTCACTGAGCCAAAACTCTGGTTGTTTTATGTTTGTTTGTACAAGTTCCTGATAAAGAAAACAATTTAATCAGGACTGATATCAAAGACTAAGGGCCTCTTCACATGAGCCCGGTTTCGGAGATCTGGCCTTACCTCTGAATCCTAGAAATATGACAAAAGCAAGACACTCTTCGGTGTTGCCTGGAAACACAACAAGCTCCGTGACGTCACACACTAGATGATCGCGATGTATGTGGGGCCGGCGTTAACAACAAACGCGGTACACGCGCTTCGCGCCTGACGAGATTAACCTCGCGATGCGAGGCGCCTTCGGCCCCTTGCTCCGCTCGGGAAAAATTGGTATGTATATTTAGCCTCGTTGGGAAGAAAAGTTATTAAAATTGCTTTTTCATTTTTCTGATTTAGTGCGGCGATTGGTTCGACACGTCCTAAGTTCGACTGTCATGAATTAAATCGGTTGCCAATAGCAACGCGTCCCCTAAATTCCCCTAAAGGTTTATAAGGTTTACAATAAGGTTTATAAGGGAGCGCGAGATTTAAAATTCGGTTTTTCCTAGCAGTTGAGAACAAGTCAAGATTTGTGAATGGAACTGAAAACGGAGAGACAATTCACGCTAGTGTAAAAAGATGCTTTTCGAGATCTTTTCATCTTTAAGCGGATTTCTCATGGCGCATCCTCGGAGACCCAGGGGCAGATAGTGGAAAGGAGGGAAAGTGTAAACGGACGGAAAAATATGGCACGAAGAAAAGTAAAGAACGGCGAGAAGAGCCCCTGGGGACAATGTCTTACAAGACCAGTTCCAAACGGTCGCCGCCGTTCTGGCTTCTGATTGGTGCCAGAAAAACACAAGTTTTCTGGCACCAATCAGAATTCCCTCGCCCCCTTTATCTGCCACTGGGTCTCCGAGGATGCTCATGGCGATATTTGGCTTTTCTTTTCAGCCAACCAATCTATCTATTTAAATACTTGTATCCCATGGTGAAAAGAAAAAGGGAGCGATCCCGATTTCGACGCGTGAATAAAGTTGAATTGTTAGAAAACTCAGATCTGAGTAATGAATTCACAAGAGCCGCCAACTGACGACAGCATCGACGTCTGACCCGACAGACGATCTTAACTTAATTCAGGTTGACCCAAATTAGAATTTGGTTCGTTCGTCTGATGAAAAGTTCTTCGACGAACGAGCTCCAACAAAACTCAAATGCTTCTTCTAAAGAAGAATATATTCCACGAAGATTGTCTGTTTTGTACTAGATTCATCGCGTTTCCATTTCACCTTTGTGACCGTTTGTCTGTTGTCTGTCGTTCGTAAACAGTTACTAAAACAACTTAACCAATACGTCAACAGTCATCAGTATGGAATTTCTGTCGCTGAGGCCTAGACGTCCCTCCTAGTCAAACGTCCTTAGCGGCGAGGAAGGAGGAGAGACGGCTGTTTTCGCAGGCGAAAATCAAAGGCCCCACCTCAATGTGCTTTCACTCCATGATCTTATACTCTCGACACCTGGCAGTACTTTAGTTGGGCCAAGTTCCCTCGTATTGGCCTTTTAGTTGCCTTTTGTTTATGGAACGGTTACTGCATCGAAAACCTTTAAAAAAAATCACTTACCGAGAATATTTTGGAGTTAACAGCTATTTGGTAAGTTCCATTAGTTGCATGTGGATTTGACTGTAGCAATTTATTACAGGATTCTGCTTCTAGAAAAATAGGGCGAAACAAGTCTTCATTTAGATCAAGAAACTTATTCCCTCTTGTTTAGATTCAACACCTAAGACGTATAAAAACATAACACGGGAAAATGACCCTTTATTGAAGTTATTGCCGCTTGTCAACTGCTATTGGTCCTTTGTTGGTAAGACGTCAACGGACTTGGAGGGCTAGCGCTCAGATGGTAGATGATGCCACTAATGCTTTTTCAGAGGTATCCTGCTCAAGACTCATAAGTAAGACCCATTTCTGTTAAGCACGCTCTCGAAGAAGCCCGTTACCTCCAGTACTCCATCAAGGCTCCCTTCAAAATGAAGGAGTCTTAATGACGATACGATAATGACGTAATGAAAACTACTAACATACTCGGGCTATCAAAATACACCATGACTTCTAAACTTTTTTATGCTCACTTCCGAACTTTTCAGTCATCTCGACTCGTAAAATAGAATTATTAGCAACAGGCTTATAGAGATGAAGAGCTATATTACTTGATTTGCATTTTTTCATCGTATAATCTCCATTTAGCTGACTTTCGTTTGATGGAGTTTCGTGAGACGCCATAGTTGTTACCGTATCATTTCAAGAATAAGCTCCGGGAGTAAGCCCCCGGATAGCATTTTACTGTAAGGCCTTTTGAGGGGCTTAAACTTGAAAGGCTTTCTTAATGGGGGGACATTTCATGGCGTTTCAATATCGGCTAGAATTAAAGTTTAGGGGGAAAACGATTATTGGTCTGTCGGTGATTTTTCAATATGAGAATGATAAATATTGGAGCAATGACTTAAAATCAATGAGCAATGAATTTTCTTAAATGCCATACCACAACCGTCACTAGGGTCCGCAACACAAAGAAACCGGTCAAACCACCAATCTGTGAATTGCCCAGCCATTACTTTATATTGAATAAACTTAGTATAATTAAAGTTCACACCCTATTTGATACTGGACTGTAAATGCGGTGGCTCAAAGTTTATAGAAACCCATGTGGTGACCACTGAGACACATCCAGGGTTGTCTGGTAATGGTTTATTTTCTATTTAGGGGAACTAATTCTCGAATGTAAGCTCCCACGTGTTTTTATACGAAGGGGTAAGTAGTATAGTAGCGATGTTTTCTTTCTTTCTTTGCGGGGCAATACTTTAGCACCCATGATGTCATAACATTTTGTGTCATAATTAAAATGCAGTAGGATCTCAAGTCAGGTAATATGCTATTCTAGGTGGTTTAGAAGGTTTGAAATGTTGTTTAGTTATTTTTACGTCGATGAATGTTTTGGTTTTTGATTGGTTGAATAAAAGCTAAGGAAAGTCTCCAATGGTTGGCTAATGTTGCCGTAGCGTGGCGAGTTGATCTTTTTTCGGCGCTTTCATTTTCCATTAAAGACAATAAATTGTTCCGCTTCCCAATCAATGATTCTTTGCCTGTAAGTTGTACATATTAACGTTGGCGAGGGCAAACTAGCTCTTTTTAGAAAGAAACAATATTTTGCCCACCCCTCCCCCCTTCCTCCTTATCGGCTTAATTCAATTTTTTCGCTCCTCCTCATTTTCTCCTATCACCACCACCACATTACCATTTTTTTTATTGCTTCCCTTCTCTGGGACTTTTAGTGGAGCGTCCCGCCCAGTGACGGGACGATGAGAGACGGCTTTATTTGCAATATATTCCTTCCTTGGTCAATAAAACTGATTGTATCTCCAAAGAGGGTTTACTTCCAACTATTGTTAAGGTTTAACTTTGCTCAAGCCCTGGCAATAAGACTTACGTTGAGCAAGAAACTAGCTTTCTCAATCCACCAAAAGTTTTTTCACATAATAAACAATTACCTGTACAGTTCCATCCGTCTCCCAAGTACCCAGGTTCACACGTGCAGTTGTATGCACTCTCGGTGTTATTACAAAACGCGTTAACACTGCAATTGTGGGCTTCTGCTGCTTTACACTCATTGATGTCTAAAATCATATTAATCAATGACAAAAGTTAACTTTGCAATGTGGATTCCTCTCAACGTTCTGTACAAAGTGTAAACTTGAACTGAAGAGAAAGGTGCAAAAGAAATACATGAGGAAAAAAAACACAAAAAAACAAAGAAAATCAAGTTTCTGATGCCGGTCAGTGCACTAAATAGGAAGCTATACATCCACTGTATACTGGTACGTTAAGGTGTTTTAAACTTTCTTACCTTTTGAGGTAATACAGTCTAACCTCTACTAAAGGTCACCTCTCCTCAACGGCCACTTTCTTCTGTCCCCAAGGTGGCCGTTGTGGAGCTGTATCTAACAAATGGTTTCTACAAAGAACATATTATCATGGAAGCAGTAAAAACAGCAGTGCTTTCGAAGGCATGCAAAATGGCCAAGTTAACAAAGAAATTACCTGTGCAATTATATCCGCTCCCTTCATATCCTGGTTTACATGTGCAGTTGTAGGATCCTTTGGTGTTATTACAAACCGCATTAGAACCGCAATTGTAGTTTCCTTCTTTGCACTCATTGATGTCTGAAATCATAGATGAACATCAATGACAATAAACTAAGTTGGCACGGTGGTTTCCTACCAGCTGTCTAGACAACGGTAAACCCACTGACGCTCGTTTTAAAGCTACAGACGAAGTAAGTTGTTAAGGAAACAAAAGAGGAAAAATCAAACAAACAAACACTGAAACAAACACAAAGCGTTTGATGCCAAGCGAGCAGACCAGACACTAAAATGAATATTACCTGTGCAGTTATTTCCATCTCCTCTATATCCAAATTTACATGTGCAATTGAAGGATCCGTGGGTGTTGTTACAAATGGCATCAGAACCGCACACGTAAGTGTCTGCTTCACACTCGTCGATGTCTGTAATATTGCATTATTGAACACCACAAAGAATGAGCTTAGTTTGAAATGTGACTCCTCTTACCCGTCACTGAGCGTTCGTTCAGTTGGGCGGATCCAGGATTTTAAGAGATAAGAGGGAGTGGGTGATAAGGGTAACTTGTCCTATGGCGTCCCTAAAACGTTTTAATTGGGTACGGAGGAATAGGAACCTGCAACACTGCAAATTCATACAACGCCACAAAATATAGAAACGATTACATTCACAAAAAACTTGTCCTCTTCCTGGCTGTACACGATATCGAGCATAACACGGGAATAAAGTGCCAACTGAACTGTTCTAACAAACAAGTAAGTTGGCTAAAAAAGGGGAGGTCTGCATCCACCTCTGTCGTTGCATTGCTTTCAGAAGAAACTTGTAACTGGGGAAGAGAATGAAAGAGAAGAGATAAAGTTTCTGCTGCCCTACGTGAACACACGTACCACTGAGAATACTACCTGTGCAGTTTTCTCCATCTCCCGTAAATCCAGGTTTACATGTGCAATTGAAGGATCCGTGGGTGTTATTGCAAAATGCATCAGAACTGCAATTGTGGTGTGTATCTACTACACACTCATCGATATCTGAAATAGGTTTTACATGTAAATTACACGTAACTTACTGAATGCTCAATCGATGAAAAATTACTGAAATCTACTTATTCTGAAGGTAAAATATTCTTTTTTGCAAAAGCAAAGGTAAGACCCTTTTATTGTCTCTGCATCGTCTTATTTGTTTGTTATAGACCCGCAACCGATTTTTGGATAACCCTTCATTTTATTCACTAAGCGTATGAATTTGTCTCCCAAGATACCATAATCGTGACCTGAAATTTCATTCTTTTTTTTACTTATGACCAATAATTGTTAGTATAATGTTAAGATCCTATTGCGTCATTTCCAAAGTGGGTCATTACTTCCAAGTTTGCTTTAAACTTTCATGAACAAAACTCGAATTTGTCAAGATACTTCCACCATTAACCAAAACGCCCTTTATGTATTTGTGTATTCATCACCTGTACAGTTCCATCCGTCTCCCAAGTACCCAGGTTTACATGTGCAGTTGTAGGATCCGTTGATGTTGTGACAAACTGCATTAGAACTGCAATTGTGAGTTCCTCCTTCACACTCATTGATGTCTGAAATCATATAGAACGATAGAGATTGGCTTAGTTTGCAGAGTGAATTCGTTTCAGCTTTCTAAAAAGTGAGGCTAGCACTAAGTAGAAAGTTGGAAAAGAAATGCATGAGAAAAAACAAACAAGCAAAGTTTCTGATGCCGGCCATGTTAGGAGACAAAACATTAAAAATACAAGGTACTAAGCATTAACCTGTGCACCTAAAATTTTGAAGCAATATTGGTCTACTACCTAGCAAAGAATTGCTATAAAGAGCATCTTATCATTGAAAAACAAAAATAGCAATGCTTTCGATGGTATGCAAAATGACGAAGTTATGAAAGAAATTACCTGTGCAATTATCTCCGTCTCCTTCATATCCTGGTTTACATGTGCAGTTGTAGGATCCTTTGGTGTTATTACAAACCGCATTAGAACTGCAATTGTGAGTTATTCCCTCACACTCATTGATGTCTGAAATCATATAGAACAATAGAGATTGGCTTAGTTTGCAGAGTCAATTTCCCTCAGCTTTCTAAAAAGTGAGGCCAGCACTGAGAAGAAAGTTGTAAAAGAAATGCATCAGAAAAAACAAAAAAGCTAAGTTTCTGAAGCCGGCCATGTTAGGAGACAAAACATTTAAAATACAAGGTACAAAGCGTCATAAACTGTCCGCTTACGATTTTAACTGAGGTAAGATGGTCTACTGTCTAGCAAAAATTGATAAAGAGCATCTTATTATGGAAAAATAAAAACAGTAATGCTTTCGATGGCACGGAAAATGACTAAATTACGAAAAATATCACCTGTGCAATTATTTCCGTCCCCTTCATATCCTGGTTTACATGTGCAGTTGTAGGATCCGTGGGTGTTATTACAAACCGCATTAGAACTACAATTGTGAGCTTTTCCTTCACACTCATTGATGTCTGAAATCATATTGAACAATGGAGATAAGCTTAATTAGTTTGCAGAGTGAATTCCTCTCAGCTTTCTAAAAAGTGAGGCCAGCACTGAGAAGAAAGTTGTAAAAGAAATGCATCAGAAAAAACAAAAAAGCAAAGTTTCTGATGCCGGCCATGTTAGGAGACAAAACATTTAAAATACAAGGTACATTTAAAAGCGTTATAAACTTTCCGCTTAAGATTTTAACTGAGGTAATATTGTCTACTGTCTAGCAAAAATTAATAAAGAGCATCTTATTATGGAAAAATAAAAACAGTAATGCTTTCGATAGCACGCAAAATGACTAAATTGCGAAAAATATCACCTGTGCAATTATTTCCGTCCCCTTCATATCCTGGTTTACATGTGCAGTTGTAGGATCCGTGGGTGTTATTACAAAATGCATCAGAACTGCAATTGTGGTGTGTATCTACTAGACACTCATCGATATCTGAAATAAGTTTTAAATTACATGTAAATAACTGAATGCTCAATCGCTGAAAAATTAAGATCTACTTATTCTGTAGGTAAAATATTCTTTCTTGCAAAAGCAAAGGTGATTAAGACCCTTTTATTGTCCCTGCGTCGTCTTATTTGTTTGTTATAGACCCGCAATCGATTATTGGACTGACCCTCCATTTTATTCACTAAGCTTATGAATTTTTGTTACTTATCACCAATAATTGTTAGTATAACGTTAAGACCGTATTGCGTCATTTCCAAGGTAGTTCATTATTTCCAAATTTGCTTTAATGGTTTTCATGAATAAAACTCGAATTTGTCAAGATGCTTCCCCCATTAACCAGAACGTCCCTTATGTATTTTTGTATTCATCACCTGTACAGTTCCATCCGGCTCCCAAGTACCCAGGTTTACATGTGCAGTTGTAGGATCCGTTGATGTTGTGACAAACCGCATTAAAACTGCAATTGTGAGTTCCTCCTTCACACTCATTGATGTCTGAAATCATATAGAACGATAGAGATTAGCTTAGTTTGCAGAGTGAATTCGTCTCAGGTTTCTAAAAAGTGAGGCTAGCACTAAGTAGAAAGTTGCAAAAGAAATGCATGAGAAAAAACAAAAAAAGCAAAGTTTCTGATGCCGGCCACTTTCCCCTTAACTTTTTGAGGTAATATGGTCTACTATCTAGCAAAGAAGTTATATAAAGAGCATCTTATCATGAAAAAAAAAACAGCAATGCTTTCGATGGCATTCAAAATGACTTAAAGTACGAAAAATATCACCTGTGCAATTATTTCCGTCCCCTTCATATCCTGGTTTACATGTGCAGTTATAGGATCCTTTGTTGTTGTTACAAACCGCATTAGAACTGCAGTTGTGAGTTCCTCCTTCACACTCATTGATGTCTGAAATCATATTGCCCAATAATTGCGAAAAAATAAGTTCCCATTGTGAGTTTTAGACTTTCCCCGTTTTTATCTACAGTGCATGAAATCAAGAGGGAAGGTTACTAGAAGATAATAACAGTATTAGAAGCAAGCCGAAAAAAGTGGTGTCGAATCCAAGGTGAAGCCATTTTTCTCTGTCTGTTAAGACATTGACTTATTGTTTTTGTTTCATTTTGTTTTTCACTTTTACGAATAAACTTATTAAATTGTTATGGTTGGACCCACAGTTTTGATGTTTGACATTCATGTTCCTTGTATGTCAACTTATGCGCCCCGTTATATCCCCTCGAAAAACTTATTTGGGTATTTGGGTAAGTTTCCCTTAGGGGTCTCATTCCAATTTTTCGAAGAGCATTTTTATATGGAACTCTCCCACCGCCCCTTCCCCCCTCCCTCGAGAGCTCAATCAAATGAGCTTCCTAGCAACGAGCCTGGATGTATAATCAAGGCTCACGCCATATCACGTTTTCTTGGTTTAGAGTTGAGATGCTCTTGAAGAAAGGCTTTCAATTACGAACTGCATTCTCCTCAACAACAAGCTCTAAGAAACACATAAGATTACGGACACAAAGAGCAAAAATTTGAGGAAATAGCATTTGAAATTGTATGACAGTTAATAGACCAATTGAAACGAGAGGCTAGCAAAACCTTAAAATGTTCGCTACGCAAACGTTTTATACACTGTCGTAGGAAATGACAAAGGACAGCCCGAGCTTAATTACGATTTACGAACCTTTGATTATTTGCATAAAATGAAAGTTTTTTTCAAGTAAAGAACAACTTACCATGTTCACATTGTGCACCAGTGAAACCAGAAGGACACAAACACCGATATTTTTTCTCTGTGAATCCAGACTGACAGGTACCGTTGTTTTGGTAACGGGGAGTATCACAAGCACTCTTTGACAGAACAAAAATCAGGTTTGAATTGTAAGATAAGAAACTGCGTTAAACCGTCTTGATAGAGCGTCAACTACAAACTACAAGATGATGATGATGATGATAAGACAATGGTAATTATTACCATCCTGATGATGATAATAATAATTATTAATAGGGAGCTTAAGCAACGGCGACGTCAAAGGCAAGGAAAAGGCAAATAGGTTAAGATTAGCAAAAAAAAAAACTTTGCACCTAAATCACGTTGCAGTTTTTTGTACATTTCCCTGCGCTCGTTGCACGACTACCACGTGGAACTTCTTAGTTTCACCTTTTCTACCGGGACGTGAACACAAGACAACGATTCTTTATTTTATTGTTATTATTATTTTTTTTTTTAACTTAGATACAGTCCTTTACAATGCGACTCCAGAAAAACTCACCAACATTTGGTGACCAATTGAATGACGTGCAATAAAAACGATAGATTTTAATACAGCGTGAATTCACTCTTTGAGAGACGTTTTCGCCACGTCGTCTTCGTCGTTGCTTAAGTTCCCTCTAATGACGAGGATGGTGACCATTGTGATGATGATGATACTGTGCACAGTGGGATGATGATTGCCATGAAGATGATGATGATGAAAGAAAAAGAAGACGAGAAAAGAAAAGACAAAAAACTTACAATTGCTCCATGATATAAGCAGCCGTTCCTCTCTTTAAAGTCCTCATCGTGCGCTCGGTGTGTTGAATTGTTCAGTTCACATCGTCTTTCTCTTTGTATCTCGTAATTAACACTGACGCAGTTTGGTTGGTTGTAACAAAGCAGTTCACAAAGACCCATATCCGGGACATATTGGACAATTAAGAACGTGTGGCCCTCCAAACATTTGTCAGCAATTAGGAAATAACTCGGAAACGCCAGTACGCGGCAATTACCTGAATTGAAGAAAGAAAAAAATTGCATTTAGGAATTCCAGGAGCTCATAAGGTGGCCAATTCTGACCTTTTCTGGCGGCAAAAAGAGCTTCAATTAAAAGCAACTGTCCTTTATAAACAAGATTGAAGTTCATGGAACATAATAACTTATATTTTCGGTTATACTCCTTAGCTTCAAGCTATGTTTTATCTGACATTTAATCATGAAACTACCATATATGTTAATTAAACTGTCTTGCTGGGGTTTTCTTGGAATTGCTTCAAACTGGCTTAAAACAGCAATGTACATCAAATAATGACAAAAAGAGATGGAATTAACTTAGTTCTCTAGGCCAATTTCAATTTTCTGTCAATTGGTCGAGCTCTATAAAGAAAACCTTCTTTTGTAGGAATATATACGATAATTCATTTTTAGTAAAAGCCAATTAAAATGCTGAAAAAAGAAAAACAGGTAGATGGTATTCCCACCTGTCTTGAAAAGTGGTAATCTGTCGTGTTTATTGCGAAAATATTTTCCTCGTATGACGCAAATAACAGAATTCTTTGTTTCCCAGCAACGTCCTTTTTGTTGACAAGTCTATAATCCAAGTATTAAACTGTGGTGACAATATCGAAACTCAATTTTATATTTCTTAAAAAATTTCTTCCAATTATCTCCTGTTATTTAACTTTTAAATAGGTTTCCATGTTGTTATTGAGTCCGCTGTAAACTTTATAATTGAACAAAATAGCAAAACTCAGGCACTGGATAGACGACACAGCTACAATAAATCGCATAAAATTGGGAAAACCTTCTCACGGTCTTCTCTGCCTTAACGACAATAACAAATCCATGGGAAGTTTCTGCAATTTTTATTAAAAAAGCCAACATTACGATCGCGTGGTGTTTGCTGAGGAAATGTTTTCCCGTTAACAACCAAACAGAATTGTTCACGGTGGGGCCAAACCACCCCTCAAATGTTGCATTTAGACTGTTTTTGGATTTTTTGGTAAGTCTTGCACCAAACTTTACAGGTAGCCTTCGAAAAGTAAGCTCATAAATTTACGCCGTTTTTTGACGTGTGATGTCAAATTTTGACGTCATAATCTATGACGTCACAAAAATGGTTGTGATCAAATTCGGAAATGTACAAAAATAGCTATATCATGTGAAAGGGCTTTACATGGACAGTAAAATACTGAAAACACTATCTCGCTACGACAAATAGAACAAAAGTTATGACAGTTTAAAGACTATTTAGTTCCCCCCCCCGGAACCATACTTTTCTTCTAAATAAGACTGCTCCGATCTAATTTTTTCATTTTTGCCCCAAATAAAGTGATATTCTAGTAAAGTAAACCTTTCAACGCTCCAAAAAATCGTATCATTTTAGATTTTTGAATTTGGACTTTAAAACGCTGATCTAAACACAACAAAAATGGTCACGTGATTTTGGTATGACGTAAATAAACTGTTTTTGTTGTTCTAGCAGGTGTAAGCATCCTCTCACATACCCTTTTTCTTGTCTTTTAGTTTCGGGCAATAAAGAGTGTCAATGTAAAACTTCAATTTTTGTGCAAAAAGAACACTAAAGTACTTAAATTTATGATTTTTGCGAAAAGGGGGGAACTCTTTCCAGCCTGTGAATAATTATCAAATTCAAAACGTCATATCTCAGCAAGCTTTTAAGCTATATAAAAAATTTTTGCAACCTTCTTCTATGCTTGACGAGATCTTTTTAAAACGCGATAAAAAAGTGGAAGATTCAAAACTCTAAAATTTAATTATCAATGACGTCATCAATTATGACGTCACAATTTAACATGAATTGTTGTAGTGCACACCAATTTGATTGGCTCGTTCTTTTAGAATTAGCGGCCAAGTCTCATACACAAAGAACAAATACAAACAAAGTTATTGTGGATTGACCAAAAAACCCACGTTTTTGTCGCACATTCGAGGGGTGGTTTGGCCCCACCGTGGTTGCCAACAATTCGGGTTTCTTAGCAATTTTCTCTTTGTTAATTATGTGCAGCAGGATGTGTTTACCCTTATTTCCTCTTATTCAGTATTTATTAAGTTGCCATGTTATTCAGTCAGTCTGTTAGCAGCTTCATGGATTGATTGTAATGAATGAATAAACAAATTCTTATATTAAATAGAGTAAAACATAAAATAGATGGCATGATATCGAAAGAATTTCTGAATTCAAAAGGCAATTTCTAGAATGGTAATTAACACTGCATGACTCACGCCCAAGGAGGACAAAAATAAATAACCTTTAGCTTGGTATTTCGCTTGTTTTTCGTCCATGAGAACGTTTATATTTATTCTGAAAAAAGGCATTCAGTGAACGTCTTAAACATATTTAATTGACCAAAAAGGAAACAAGGACAGTTGAGTGGAATAAAATTCCCATTATTACGATGACCGTTGGGCTTTAAAAACCCATCAACGAGGTACAACCCATATTACACTAAGCCTTTCTAAAATAAATGTTACAAAGGATAATTTCACCAGTCTATCAATCTGCCGGATTTTACACATAACTGGGACGCTCAATTATGTTCTTGTAACAACGTTCAGTAAGATAAAATTGATGTAGATTTTCAAATTGATTGCGTCTGGCTTCCCTCGAATTGCCATCCGGCCGAGATTATTGTTTTATGCTGTTGTTCGTATAAACGAGTTAAAATTGTAAAGAAGGTAACGTCTGGGGATCCTTAAAGGTGGTCATATTCAACGAGGTTTTCGAATACAAGACATTTTCGAGCCAGAAAAATATTCGTCAACGTAAAAGAGGGGTACAGGGTCGTATTAACGTAGAGTGTTTTAAAATATGGTATGGGTCCAAACTAAAAATAAAGATAATTAAGAACAGATACTAAGGAATCTTGGGCTTCCGAAGGGAAGTGATAAGAAACGAAAAGAAATAAAAAGGGACTAAAAGCTCCTCGCACACTGACATTGTTAGCAGCCTTTTTTTATTTATTATTTTTCCTAGCTAATAATAGCCACAGTCTGTTTTCTTTTCTGTAACTAGATTCTTGTAGAGCAATCATTTTGCGGCGAGCAGACAGGCTAAATAAACAAAGAAAGCCTACAAAGATGGGGTTAATCGCTAGTAGTTGTAAAAAAGGTTAACAGTGTAAAAATTAAGCCGGTCCCTAACCAAAATTTGTTATTTAGAGAGTTTCGAAAACGCTTGTTTAGAAATTTTTGCGTGTTCTCCCCTTGTTGCTAACAGACATGATTCTTTATATTCGGGAAAGGTAAGGTCCTTGGAGTCCTATGAGCCTTAAGCAATTTTGCAACCACGAAAAATAATTTTGCGGAACTTTTTGCAGGTGAAGTGATTTTTTTTGCATGTTTCTGTTAGAAAAGAAGAGAAATTAACCGTAAGCTGTACTAAAAGTCACATTTATGGGCAGTATACAAGAGCAGAAAATTTTGCAGCTACTCTTGTTTAAAGTCAGTCTAGCTAACTATAATAACTTTTTTATCTTCTTTCAAGAGATAAATGTGTTTGTCACTATTTTGACGCTCAATTTTTGAAAATAGCGAGCCAAATATGATTGAAACAACAAGGCGGAAAGAGAAGAACTTACCATCCAAACAGCCGAAGCAAATTCTGAAAGAATGCATGTACAGCATAAAGAAAATACTGTAGTGAAGAACACCCATGATCGCTGCCGTGTTCGCGGAACGCAACTCTCCTGAAAAGTCGAGTGCATTAAGTGCGGTTAAGCCACAACGGGGATGTAACTTATACTATACATGTTAACAGTTCCATACCACCTGTCGCATTTTAACACTAACGTCAAAACTTAAATTATTCTTTTTGTTGATGACACAATTTAACAATCGTTGGAAACATTTTACTGATATTTCACGGTTAACACATACATATGCACAGACGGAGACAATTCCAGACTTGAAGATGTAGCTTTTCTAGCGTTAACTGTGCTCTCGTTAATACCGTCTTTAGATTCCTACAACGTTTTTGGTAAACAAAATTTGGCATAAATTAAAGTTGAAAGGTTTTAATGATCTTTAATAACTCTGTTTCAAAATATTAGGGCCTAGCCTGATGGGCCATTGTCGTCGGGCTAGCTCAGACTCGCTATGAAACTTCTTGATATAAAAAAAATGGGTAAATTGAAAAAAAATAGCATCTATTATTCAAAGATAAGTTAGCAAATTTTAATTATTTTTTTCTATGCAAATGTTTTTAGAACAGAGTAGTTAACCCTTTCACAACTGAACTTAGTAAACCGCAAATAAATCTTACATTGAGGTGGAAAACAAAACATTGCTATAGACAATGCTATAATAAAAAATAATGAAAAGATAAGCAGGTGTTGACTGAACGATTCCACAGCCTATTCTAATGCACTAGAACATGATTAGCTGCGTAATTATCTACTCAATGGGACCAACTATGCATGGTCACAGGCAGACCAAGCTTTTACCTCGGTAAGTTTTACGGGGTCCTGTGGCTATACATTCGAGTCCCGCTTTGCGGACATCCGCTTAATTTGAACTCTTCGTTATTATGGACAGCTATCTTTGTTTCTGGGCAAAGCCCTTACCCTTTAACCGGCTTAATAAAGACACTTAAATCCTTTTTTGTAAGCGTCAGTATGAAAATCGCCAAAACCTTCCCTAAGTCTACTGGCAGCCTCAATAATTAATTTTAGCTCTGATATTCTGGTCTTGGCTCAGGACTCCTGAGTTTTCATTCTATGTATACGTAATTAGTGATATCCTCTGTAACCTCGGTTCGTCCGTGGCGCGGCGTAATTAGCGAAGACCTGATGCTATCAAGCCGTTTAAAACTCAATAAAGCCACTGGACTGTATAAAAATAGTGCGCACCTGCTCAAGGATTCTGCACGCCGTCGCTACCACCTATCGCCATAAAAGGGACCTTTTCCCTCTACTTAGAAAAATTCGAGAGTTGTACCCTTCATTCTAAGTTGTACCCTTACATAAGAAAGATAATAAACAGAAATCTTAGGTCAGTTTCCATTTTGCCTACTTTTTGCA